TTGCCAGTCATCTAATGGCCCTATCTACCTGGAGCATTAGGTGGTGTTTTTGTTTTTGTTTTTAGCTCAGTTTAAATACTTCTAGATTCACAGAAGGTTGCAAATATGTAAATATATGGATGGAAGTCCTGTGTGCCCTTTCATTTTTTTCTCATTGTAACTCTTTTTCCAGATTTGAGGTATAATTGACAAATAAAATTGTAGGATATTTAAAGTGTACAACATTATGACTTTACTGGTTACATGATAATAATATATTTACATTATTAAAGGAATAACCCCATTGAATTAATTAACACATCCATCACCTAACATATTTACCTTTTTTTTTTTTTTGGTGAGAACATTTAAGTTCTCTCTTAGCAAATTTCAGTTATGCAATACAGTGCTATCAACTATAATCATCATGTTGTACATTAGGTCTTCAGACCTTATTCATCGTATAACAGAAATTTTGTACCCTTTTACCAATCTCTATTTCCACACCTCTCAGCCCTTGGCAACCATTTTTCTATTCTCTGTTTCTATGAGTCCAAACTTTTTTTTTTTTTTTTTTTAAAGATTCTACATATAAGTGATACCATGCAGTATTTGTCTTTCTTTGGCTTATTTCACTTCATACAGTGCCCTTCAGGTTCATCGATGTTGTTACAAATAAAAGGATTTCCAAAGTCTGATTGATATTTTATTGTCTTGATTCGTTCATCCATTTATGAACACTACATTATTTGCATATCTTGGCTACTGTGAATATGCTGCTATGAACATGGAAGTGCAGATAGCTCTTCGAGATCCTGATTTTATTTCCTTTGGAATAAGATATATGTGTGTGTTTGTGTATAAAGCAGGATTGCTGAGTTATATAGTAGTTCGATTTTTAATGTCTTAAGGAGCATCCATACTGTTTTTCATGGTGACTGTACCAGTTCACATTCCCACCAACAGTGTAAAGGGCTCCTTTTCCTCCACATGCTTTTGTTATCCCTTGTCTTTTTGCTAATAGACATACTAACAGGTGTAAGGGGATCTCTAATTGTGGTTTTAATGTACATTTTTTGATGATTAATGATATTGAGCACCTTTTAATGTACCTATTAGACATTTGTATGTCTTTGGGAAAAAGTGTGTTCAGATCTTTTGCCCATTTTTTAATTGGGTTATTAGGTTTTACTATTGAATTAAATGAGTTTCTTGTATATTTTGTATATAGGGTTTGCAGATATTTACTTTTATTCCAGAGGTTGCCTTTTCGTTTTTTTGATAGTTTCCTTTGTTTGTAGCTTTTTCAGTTTGATGTAGTTCCACTTGTTTATTTTTGCTTTTTTGTGTCTTTGCTTTTGGTATCAAATCCAAAAAACTATTGCCAAAACAATGTCAAGGAACATACCCCCTAAGTTTTCTTCCAATTTTATTGCTTGAGATCTTACATAACTTGTAGTACACTATCAAAATCAGAGAATTGACATCAGTATGATCTACAACTGTATTCAGATTTCACCAGTTCTACATAAACTTGTGTGTGTGTGTGTGCGTGCGCATAGTTCTGTGCATTTTATTGTGTATGTAGATTCATGCAACCACCATCACAATCAAGATACAACACTGTTCTATCACCAACAGGTTTCCTAGGGGTGCTGTTTTATTTTATCCTTTCACTGCTTTATAAGCAAGGTCTCCTGTTAGGTAGATTTATCATGCGTGGGCCTTGAGCTTTAGCACGTTGTCTGCAGTTATTAGAACAGAACATCAGTGTCTGCGGGATTCAGAAACCCTAAGAGCGAAAGCTGGATCTGGGTGCTTATTTGTTAGTGTTCTTTGTTTCACTTTTTTGGGGGACTAGGTAGCTTCTATTCTTTGGTGTCAGCTCTGAGGTATGTTTAAAAAGATACTTTACAATTTTTAAAGCATTTTAGTTTCAGTTGGAAGGTTCATTCAAAGTTTCCAATATTCCATATTTTGGAAACAATTAACCCTGGAAATATTAAAGAACATTTATCTTTATAAGTTTCATTATAGTTTCTTTATAATTAGAAAAGTTGACTTTGCTTTATCTTGGTGCCTTTGTTTCTATGATTATTTGATGATTAGACATACTATGCATGCAGAACCATATCGGATAATGTACTTCAGGAATGGTCATAAAATTTATAATGGACTGCTTCATGAATAGTTTAATTTTCAGTCATATATTTATTTATCTCTATATTAGTCTTAATATTGAAATAACTAAAGCAAAGAGAAGTTAGTTTCTCCAAGCTCATGATCGTTGGAGAGTCTAAGACTAAAGTTCACATGAATCTTTTGCTTACCTATTTTCTACAACTCAGTTTTAAATGGTTTTACAATTAACTTCTGAGTTAGATTTTTATACCCAAATATTATAAATTTGTCTGAAATTTCAAATCAAGTTAAAAGGACAAATATATCATTTAATTTCAAAAGTACACAATTTAAGGCCAAGACAAAATATGAGAATTTCAAAGAAAAAAACTCTGCAACCTTGATTCTTAGTTTGAAAATTTGAAATTAGCATGGTTAGAAGTATCTGGCTATCACTCAATATGCAAAATATTTTTCCATAGAGAAGAAGATCCTGTGGAAACTCATGTTTTCCACGGAGAGATGACAGGAGGAATATAGCTCAATTTAAGGCCAAGACAAAATATGAGAATTTCAAGCCTAAATAAAAAACTCTGATGAAACTCAGTGTTTTTGTGTTTTTAATCTTGTAATTATGCAGTTTCTCTATGTTCCAAGAGAAATAGAAAGCCTCATGTTAATTAATACTGGACTAGGTTGCTTTGTCTTCTAATATAAGACTAATTGTATTTCCAAGAATACTTTTTTTTCCCAAGGATTCTTAAACCTTTAAATATGTATAAGGAATTTATTTAAAGTGTAGAAAGCATTGCCTAGTTTAAAATAAGTAACTGCAATGTTTACATGGGGAAATATAGTCTAGGGAAATAGGCTAGGCCACCAAATGACCAAGATACTTACTGTAAGTCAGATTTTATGTGGACCTGAATCAAGTTTCCTCTTGAAGACTGTTCTTTTTGCTGTGGACACATAGGTTCTCCACTTAAAAATTGTAAAGATTTGTAGCAGTTCAAATCAGTGAATTGAAATAGCATTTATTGATTAACCCTCCTAATAGGAGGGTTAATTTCTAACTTCAAGAAATTTAAGATATATAAGAGAAAGACTGACAAATCATTGTGATATTGTTGTACTTACAAGTATAGAGAGACCCTAAGAGCACAGATTTGGAAGGTAGGGAGTTTGGAGAAAGGATGATCAGGAAAGGCTTCACAGAAAGTGAAGTCTTAGTTGGGCCTTTACGAATTAGCAGAATTACATCAATATTCAAATGAAAGGAGAGCATTCTACCAAAATAAGGACACATAAAATGTTACTTCCTCCCACCTGCACCCTCATTTCTTCCTTTATCCTTTACCTTCATTAGAGCATTTTGGAAGGGTTCAGAAACCATTTTATGAGCCTTATTTCTAATGCAATTCTTGGGTTCATGTAAAACTTTAGACCACCTTTCGTTGCATGCCCAGTCCTAGATTGTAATATTTCTAACTTAGAAAAAAGAAAAAGAACACCAGGTTCAGCTATTACCTTAGGAATAATGCAAATCCACCCATCTCAATTTCTCCGGCTCTTACTGTGGCTTCTTGACTGGTTCCTGCTTTCTTGCCCTGTTACCTTATTGTATATAACTCTCTCCGATGTCTCCGCACTTGAGCTGCCTGCTCTTTTAGTCCTCTCCCTTCTCCTCCCTTCACATGCATTTGTTAGCCGCAGCCTTTACTAGTAAAACTAGTTTTATCCTCTATGTTATTTCACTTTTTTATTGATTGAAACTTTGATAGTGGCCAAATATTATTTTCCTTTTGATAACTCATGTTAAAGCATTTGTGAACTAACAAAACAGTTCCCAAACTCACACAAACTTAGGTTTATCTGGATCCCTAACTCAATCCTTTTCTTACCACCCTACCATACCACCTTGCTATTTTCATTCTAAAACCTTCACAAAAAATTTAACCATTTACTTCCTCTGGTTTAGCTTTGAGCTACTGATAATGTTATTTCTTTGCTTAGCATTAGATCTAGTAAGAGTAAACTCCCAGCTCTGTATGGGCCTGTGGTCCTCACTGTGTTTCTACATCAGTAAACAACAGTTTACTTCTCAACAGTTGGGTCTATATGAAAGTGGAGTTATATAAAGAACCCAAGGCAAGGGGTAGGAGTATGAAATGGATTAACAAGGCTCTATAACTTTTTCTAACAAGATATCAAAGGGCTGAGGAAGGTAGGTTATTAGCATTGGAAAGAAGACCGGGTTTTGAGTCAGAAAACCTAGATTTAGGTTGCAGTTTGGTTCTATACTAACGGAGTAAGTTTAGATAAGGCTTTAAAAAACAACTCTCTGAATTATTTTCAGAGGGAGATAATAATAGAACCTCAGCATTTCAAGGATTGAAATCATGTTTGTGAAAGTACTTGGAAAAACAGTGCAGTACTGGGAATAACATAAGTCATTGTAAGGTAGATTACTGTAAATGGTAAGTTTTAGATTTCTTTTCTTCTCTTTTCTTTGTTTCCTTTCTAGGCAACGCAACCCTTGGTTGACCTCACAGATTGCAAGGACTTTGTCAGCTTACAATCTCTTATTTTTTCTATTTTTTATGCCTACAGCACCTGGTCTTCCTAGGCGGTCTCCCATCCAAGTACTAACCAGGCCTGACCCTGCTTAGCTTCTGAGATCAGAAGGGATCAGACTTATTCAGGGTAGCATGGCTGTAGACTAGACATATTTTCAAGGTTTAATATGTGGTAACTTTCTAATACCTGCCCTCTTAGATTTGATTAACCCAGTGTATTCATCAGTAATCCAAAGAAAGAAATGACAATAATACTATGCTAGTGAACAAAATAAACATAGAATATTTATTTTTTCTGCGTACTCTTTTCCACTCCCTTTATAGGAGAGCCTTGAACTTAGGAATTCTTCGAGACCCTGGATCAGAAATTGAAGATAGACAATACCAAATAGACCTGCAGTCTATCAATATTGGTACTGCACAGTGGGAGCAACTAAAACCGGAGAAGGAAAGTGGCACAGGTGGGGCGCAAACTGAGAGTGAAAGAAATTCTCAAAATCCAGCCCTGGAGTGGAATATGGCCAGCAGGTAGGAAATGACTGAGAAACTTTCTACACTTTCTAATGTTTCATTGCCAGAAGAACAGTTGGTGATATAATCTTTAATGTGCCCAACCTAAGTGCTTTGGTATTGCTTCTGCATTTCATGACAAACATAAAATATGTTTTGTAATTGTAGCTGATGGTTTTGCTTGGAAACTGGCTAATCCTACTATCGTTACACTGTAATTATTACACATTTAAGATCATGTCAGCGTTTTTTTTTAGAGCTTGGTATTCGATGAAAGATTCTACTTCTGGCTAAGAATACATTCACATTTTCTCTGGAAATCCATTGTATTCAAGATCAGGTTTTTTCAAGCCTCTCTTTTCTGTTTATAATAATTAGGAGAGAAAAGCAGCAAAGGTCCTGGGTTGGATTTTTTTAGTCCACTTTAACTAAAAGCAGCTATGTTCACAGAAAACTCATTTTAAAAGGAATTAGTCCTAAACAATGAGCTATAAGATGTGTAGAGAGTCACTGCCATCTTATCCAGGCTCTTCATAGTTGTCGTTAGAAAGATAGAATCATTTTCTAGAACGAAGGTACCGGGCATTAAAGATATTTTTATATTGTTAAAAAAAAAAAGATGTACTTTGTATATTGTAAACAACTTCTATAATTTTAAGAAAGCATTATTTTTCATCTTTTTAAAAATTTATAAGAATCAGTAAAATCTGTTGCTTATTCCATATCATGGTGGTTTGTTTATTGGAGTTCTTTAAAACATTGTGTGCAGACTTTGTTGTATGCCTTTTGCAAACGCTGATTGCTTTGGGGTTCTGCCCCTTTACCACCAAAACTATATTTATCCATGTCTTGGCATTAATAACAGTGATAACATTAATAATAGATTATGTAATGCTTATCACTTTACCTAATTTCACAGTACTGATAGGGGTAAGAGCTGTTTTTCCTAATTATACATGAAGTAACTAAGTTCTAGACAAGATAAATTATTTGCCTAAAACCAAATACTAACTGGTAGTCTATACGCCTCATATGGTTCTTCTTTTTCAGGTACCCACAATCTTTTCTAACTTCATTGTGCTCTATTCATAATGAGCTTATTTTATCTTCTTGAAAATATGATTGCCACTTGCTACTAAGCTTTTGTATACGATCTTCTCTTTGCCTGGAACTCTCTTAACCCACCCTTTTCTTGCCTCCTCAAGTCTCAGAATAGACTACACGTTTTCCAGGAAGTCTTCCCTAAGTCCCCAGGAGAAAAGATTAGGTTGCCTTTCTGTGTGCTCTTATCATATCACTTAGCATATTTAATTCTAATTATCTATATAGTTTGTCTAGGTCCCCAGGACAGAGATCATCACCATCCGTCTTTTGATTTATCCCTAGCACTAAGTACTTTCATGATATAAAAGGTATAATGATAGCCCTTCATTGACAAGTAAAATGACTGACTGTGCCCCTGAGGTGGGGTATAAATTTGGATGGAAAATCTCCCACTGCAGGCCAAGGTACACTCAGGAGACAGATGCAATTATTGAGCCATGAGCAGGTGGCGGTTCCCAAAGCTGGGGGTAATGAGTATTTTGGTTTTGACTAGAGGATCTAAGTGTACACCAAACATCAGTACACGGATCCTGATCACTAAAATCTCATATCAGCCAGGATCAAGTCCTCTCATTCCTCCACTTTACTCATTTTTCAGATTTAGATAGTACCAGCTTACAAAACTTACAAATTTTATCATCAACACAGAAGATAAGCCTTATTTTCCCAGGAAACTTTATGACCATCTAGCCTTATTAACTCATCTCTGTCTCTTCTATTTATTCTTTAATTCATTTATAAACAGTTTGTGTGTGTGTTTTAATAACTGAGTTGCAATTCATATAATGAAAATCAGCCATTTAAAGTGAACAATTCAGTGTCATTTTGTACATTTACAATATTGTGTAACCACCACTTCTGTCTAGTTCCAAAACATTTTCTTCACCCCAAACTAAAATCCCTTACCCTTTAAGCAGTTTCTCTGCATTTCTAATGGCCCCTGGCAACCACCAATCTGCTTTCTGTCTCCAGTGATTTATCTATTCTGGATATTTTGTATAAAGGGACTCAGTATATGTCCTTTTGTGTCTGACTTATTCACTCAACATAGTGTTTGGGAGGTTTATCCACGTTGTAGCATGTGTCAACATGTCATTCTTTTTTATTGCTAGATAATATTCCACTGTATATAAATACCATAGTTTGTTAATCCATTCATCCATTGAACATTGGAGCTATTGTCATCTTTTAGCTATTGTGAATAATGTTGCTATGGACATTTGTGTACAAGTACTTATTTGATTATCTGTTTTCAGATATTTGGGGTATATACCTAGAAGTAGAATTGCATAGTCATGTAGTAATTTTATGTTTAACTTTTTGAGGAGTTACCAAACTGTTTTCCACTGTGGCTGAACCACATTGCATTCTCACCAGCAATGTTCAAAGGTTCCAATTTCTCTATATTCTCACCAACACACCTATTTTTTCTTTTTTTTCCTATAGCCATACTGGGTATGGTTTTGATTTGCATTTCCATAACTATTAATGATGTTGAGTAATTTTTTATGTGCTTGTTGTCCATTTGTATATCTTCTTTGGAAAAATGTTTATTCAACGTTTTTGCTCATTTTTTAATTTGACGAATTCTCATCAGTTTTTTTTCTATTGTTGTCCATGCTTTTGGTGTCATATCTACGAGTCTGTTGGTTTGTTCCTAGGTTTTATTCTAAGGGTTTTATCAGGTTAGCTCTTATAGTTATGTTGTTGATCTATTTGAGATTGGTTTTTTATTGTTGTTATTGTTTTATCTGATATGACGTAAAAGCCCAACCCAACTTCATTCTTTTGTATGTGGATATCTATTTGTCCCAGTACCATTTGTTGAAGAGACTGTTCTTTCCCCATTGAAAGTTCTTGGCACAATTGTCAAAAATTAACAGACATTTTGATGTCCAATATATGCCATGGAATGTCTTTTACACTAGAGAAACAAAATGAAATAATTTCTGGTATGTGCCTATCTCTTACAGAGCTCAGCATTCAATTAAAAAGACAAACTAGTTAATTAACTTTTAGAGTGCAGTGTGGAAAGTGCTATGAGAGTCAGAATTATGGTATACTTAGGATACAGAAGAGCCCCATCCACATCAGGGTAGACACATTCCATGCACATAGGACATCTCAGACTCATAGATGTGACATACAGATGAAACTAATCTAAAATCAACATAGGGAAAAATAGAGAATTTAAAGAAAGAAATGAATTATTACGTCTACAGTGAGTCATCAGGGAAGGTTTCAGAGAGTACACAGCTTCTGTATTTGTTTCCACAGCATACGAACAGCAGGAGTGGGGAGGGAGCATTTTGAACTTAGAAAATAGTAGAACAAAAGGCTAGGTGTATGAAAATGTGATATGTTTTACTTACTGCTGAATACCGAGCACATCATATCATCCTTGGCACATAAGATGCTTAATAAAGAGTTGAGTGTATTAATGAAATATTAAATGATTAAGTAGAGTTAACAAATCAAGTGACTGAATGGTTCTGATGAAGTAGTTTTGATGAATGTGTCTTCAGATGAGACAAATTTTATATCTGATACAGCTTAGTTCTGATTAATCTTGGCAGAAATATAAACAGAACCTTAATATATTATATTTTTGTTTTTCAATAGGTATTGCAGTTAAAATTCAAAAATTAAAAAAGATACCCAGTGAAAAATAATATGTTCCCTCCTCTGACCAGCATTTAATGTCGACCTTTATAACAGTTTCCATTCATTTCTCCTGAGTACATTGCTCTGATTTTGTCTTTAATCATAATATGTTTATATGTGTATGCTGGGGAGCAGGGAGCAGGGAAGCTAAGCATAAAGAATCATCAAGTTCTAAAACATGTAGAACTCCTTCCAAAAATCTTGATTTTTCAGCTGAGGAAATACATCAGGGTTCAATCAAGCCAGCAGAACCACTATAAGTATTACAGCATAAAGATTTCTTTTAGGAGCAAGACCTTATGCAGTTGTGGAAGAAGGTGGAAGGTAAGGACTTAAAAGAGGGAGATGATGGATTAGAGAAATGTCACTACCCAACCCTCTTGATCACGTGACCTGGGTAAAAAAAAATTTGTAGCTCCCCAGGGAATCTGGGCAGCCAGGGATGTCTAGCGGTTGGAGGGACCTCAGGATACTGGTAGAGAAGCCCATGGGAGGCTGTTGCCTCTGTGTCTGGGAGTGAGCCTACAGTTGCTGTTGGTCAGCAGGGTCAATGGTCAGGAAAATAGCTCATCACAAAGCCTGGAAGAGTGAGGACAAGCTGGAATTTGTCAGCACCTCTGCATTGGAATTCCACTGCATTTAAAACAGCATGATTTTCAGAGTATATTGGCTACTATTTCCTTTACACCTTCCAAATCTCACACAAATTTCTCTCTAAGCTCTGAAACCATTCTTATTAGCAAGTTGTTACAGAACAAAAACCACTAAAGAAACTAAATGAGGAGGTTTCTTGGCTTGTCCAGTGGCACTTAGAACTAAGTGCAGAACCTTGTTTGCTTCCTCTTAGCTACTTTTCTTCTACTCAGTGCTCTGACCCCTTACACTATGGTAAAGTTCATTGTTAGTTAATCACTTTTTTCTTTTCCTCTTAGCAACCATTTTTACTACATCTGGGCTTATTTTATAATCTGAGGAAATGAAGTGCTGAGAACTAAACCTGTACTTATGTCTGCCATGTGCAGGTTACACATTCAAATCATTATTGTTTTACATGGTGATTAGTGCTTTGGGTGTATAGGGTGAGGGTGGAAAGTTTATTTTGTAATTTCCTGAAAATGCCAGTAAGCCTTAATTCTCCAAGTAAATATTAATGTAATTTTCTTGTTTATAATATTTAAAGATATAATTTGAATAGATTTAAAAACTATACTTGAAAAATAAATCACTTTGTTTTTATCACAGTACTTTTA